AAGCCTCGCTAACCATACTAAGTCTGGGCGTGGCTCAGTCCTCACATTGCCCCCCCCCCCCATCCCGGAAAGCAAAATACTTCTTGATGCTAAATTCTGCACTCATGTATTGAAAACACAAACATGCGGGGCATGGGGAACCTGGTAAACAGGCCTGGTTCTCAACGTTCTGCCCACCCGCCATCTCCTTTTATCCTGGCTTCTACGAGCAGCAGTCCTCTCTTCTATTGCTGTCCTTTTGAATTCAAAGTACCCTTTCCTTCCTGTTGTGGAATTTAATAATCACCGTGTGAGCCTTCCCTTCCCCCAAATACACATCTTTTAGCTTCCCCCTCCCGTGACAGTTGCATGGGGGCAGGCATCATATAATCCTCAGCACTTGCATTATGTTCAAAGGATCCCACATGTGGCGGAACGGGCCCACGTCAGCTGGCCACTCTGCCCACCCCTCCTTTGCCTGTCCTGGCACCTGAAGGGGCAGTTTTTCACCACTGCCTCCGGGTATTGCTGCCACCACTGTCCCTGTCTTGGGCTCTGGTTAGGCGGGACAGCCTCCTAACCTCCCTCTGATGTCGCCAGGAACCCACCTCGGGGCTTCCTGATAATCTTCGGGGCTCCCCTGGAGAGTTGGCAACTGACCGTTTTGCCCTTATTCTCCTCCTTAGGGAGTCCCCAACCCACTCTTAGCGTGTCCAAGCGGCTGGGGGAACTATGTGGTACAGAGGGACTTCTCAGGGTCAACAGTGAAAGAGTTTATTTTAAAATCACTCAACTATATACAGGCATATTAACAGTGAACTGAAGAATTAAAATAAAGGTGGATAATAAATCGCTCCATCTCTCCCTTCACTACACATACCCTGTCTAGATGGTCTGCAGGGCAGGCACATGACTTGTTTTCATTAGAGGACTCCCAACATGGCCTCTGCCTCTTGCAGTCTCCAGCCGACAGCCTGACTGGCTCCAGACTTCAGGCAGACTGCTCTCAATTCTCCAAGACCGGTTTCCCGCCCAAAAGCTCCACTATATCAAACAGCCCTTCCCGCCCAGGAAGTGACTCTCCCTCCTGCAGCATTCTGGGGCAGATCTCCTCACAGCCTTGATGGACTTCCTGTCCTCTCTAGGGAGCTGCCCTCTGACTGCTGGTTGGAGACAGGAGGGGGGGGGAATGAGGAGGAGACTAGGCCAAGGCCTACTAGGCCAAAGCCTACCTCAGGTTTGATGGTCCCCTCCTATCTGGCCCACACCAACTTAAACATAGGCATAAAATGGCGTTTCTCCACATATGGTTAGAATTATAAATGGCACTTAGGATATATATATATATACCGTGCTAAGTGTACCTACTAAAGTTAACCTGTTAGTCAGTGGCAGAATAGAAAATGTATAACAGTGTTTCATAAACTGTGCGTGCAACGCTGGCTTCAGTTCTCTTTCTTCAACCACTCAGCAGCTGCACTTCAAATACCAAGGAAGAGGCACATACCGCTGGATATGCATCACATCCCCCAGGGGCGGATGAAGGCTCCCTGGTGCCCTAAGCACTGACCAATCTTGGTGCCCCCCCCTCCTTTCCACACTGACCCCGTCCATTTTAGTTGTTGACCTGTCTGACCAGATATGCAATGCAGGTTGCAGCAATACAAAAATGTATTCATAGGATAACACAATACACTGTACAAACTAAGCTTTTCACCCTTTCCCCAACTTTGTGGTGCCCCCTTTGGCCCTGGTGCCCTAAGCACGTGCTTCGTCTGCTTCATGGTTAATCTGCCCCTAGCCGTACCCCATTTTGCTACTGTGGCTCACATACTCCTTAGTTAATTCTGCTCAGGGTCTGCACTGTGCGGCCGATCTCACTGGGTGTCACTCTGTCACTACAGAGGTGGCTGTGAGAAGGGAAGGAGCCAGCCAGCAATCCCTGACTCCCCTCAGCTGCTCTTGTGTACGACTGATCTGGAGACAATCTGATGTGATAAAGACCACGCTCAGCCCCTCAGTCCCACGGCCTTTCCAGAGCCAAACACCAGCTGTTTTCCCAGGCTCTTGTGCTGGTTTGATGACTGCAGGTCCACAGAGAATCCCGTGATACAACATCAACTTACAGCCCACGGTAGGCAGAGAATCCTGGAAGTCCTTTTTCACATAGCGGTAAGCTAGGCTTGTCTTCCCTACAGAGCTGCTACCCAGAAGGACGACTTTAAAAACGCAAGAAAATTCTTTAGAGCCGGGGGCATCCTGGAGGAAGCTGACCTCTTTGTTCCCTGTCGTTCTCTGGGCCATCTCCTGCAATGAAAAAAAGATACGTACATATAAGAAGAGAAGAGATTGGATTTATACCCTGCCCTTCACTACCTAAAAGAGTCTCAGAGCGGCTTACAAACTTGTTTCCCTTCCCCTCCCCACAACAGACACCCTGTGAGGTAGGTGGGGCTGAGAGAGCTCTTAACAGAAACGGCCCTTTTTCAAGAACAGCTCTTATCAGAACTACAGCTTGCCCAAGGTCATCCAGCAGGTGCAAGTGGAGGAGTGGGGGAATCAAACCCGGTTCCCCAAGATTAGAGTCTGCGCACTTAACCACTACACCAAACTGGCTCTTGGGCAGTTGGGCAGAACTTCTTTGAAACTGATAACATTTGAAATGGTCATTTGAAATCTCCCCCCACTCCTTTCCTCGCCCCAGCCCTCCATGGACACTGCTGAAGGCTTTTTCAAGAATGTGGGGCTCTGTCTTCTCTCCTACACTTTTCAGTAGACATGCATCCTCTGAAAGAGATTATCCAAAGCTTTGGGACTGGATGTCTCCAGTATGCTGATAGGAAAGTAGATGGGTCACAGTAAAAAACAACTGAGGCCCCGGTCACATGGGCCGGATAACACAGGGGGGAGGTGGAGCTTTTTGCACCGCCGCAATTAGAGCTGCCATAATGTGATCCCATGCGTCGGCAGCACGCCACAGTTCCTTCCCTCCGCGCCTGTGCATCAACAAGAGGCCGGAGGGAAAAGCCGCGGCTGGCAGGATCATACCAAGGGACTTCGGAGGCAGCCCGTGGCAAACCGGTTGCTAGTTCCTCCGAACAGGTAGTTTTTAATGGCACATTTTCGGCACCACGGGTTTGCCACAGGTGCGCTCCACTTCCCAAATGTTGCGGTGTGATCGCACCCAGATAATCTGCCGTGTAATCATCGCTCTCCCGTGGCAAATTCTCCATGTGAACAGGGCCTGAGACTAGCAAATACTGTGACAATGTGAGCAGAATAGATCAAGAAAAGATATTTAATTTTTTAATTCATTTTAGTGATAATGATAACAATAATCTGAGCAGAATGTGATACATTACAAAATTCATAAAATATCAGTCACCATCAATAGCAATCTGCTAAGCCACGTGACCAGAACAAAAAACCCACAAGTTTTGTCAAAGTCTTAACTGTATAATAATGGTAATAGTTAAGGGCGATGGGTGAAAACTGCTAAGACAAAAACTGGATCATGAGAAAACTGATGAAGAAGAAGAGAAGAGATTGGATTTATACCCCACCCTTCACTACCCAAAGGTGTCTCAGAGCGGCTTACAAATTCCTTTCCCTTCCCCTCCCTACAAACTTGTTTCCCTTCCCCTCCCCACAGCAGACACCCTGTGAGTTAGGTGGGGCTGAGAGAGCTCTTGACAGAAACTGCTCTTTTTTCAAGAACAGCTCTTATCAGAACTACGGCTTTCCCAAGGTAATCCAGCCAGGTGCAAGTGGAGGAGTGGGGAATCAAACCCGGTTCTCCCAGGTTAGAGTCCGTACACTTAACCACTACACTAAACTGGCTCTCTGATGAGTAGAACAAGAACACTTTTATGCTCTGTCAAATAAGAGAGTGCTAACAACAGGTCAATGCAGAAGAACAATCAGAAATGAATCCAGGAGTGGTAAGATAGGTTCAACAGAAGCATTTTGTGTTCAGGCATATACTGGAGCACCCTTGCCCGCATATTAATAAACTTACATGATGACGAGTTTATGCCTGCAGACGTTTACTGTATTACATTAGTAATTTTGTCCATGACAAACGGATCCCAGATTTTCTCGTGCCATAGTGTTAGGCTGAGGTCACACGGTCATTTTGATCGGGTTTCACTGCTGTTCCCTCTCGCATTTAAAATTCTGATCAGACACCCACATCCGACTTCCGCACTGAAGTGGGCTCACTCGCGTGATCCTCCTGGTTCCCTAGCGAGTTTTGCAACACTGGGAAAATCAAGTACTTTCTGGGTGTTTGCGCTTTGAATCCGTGATTTTACCTATCTGGACAGCCATCTCTCATAATGATTGAGATTAGGTCATCTGAACGTCCTTCTTCCGGTAGGTTTTGGGGGTTTTGTGACTTTCACCATTGTGCGCATGTCTGGACAGTGCTTGGAGCATTGTTGCGCAAAGCAAGCGATTGGGCAAGGGATGTGTGATCATCTGAACCTGCTTTAAAATATCCATGATCAAATCCACAGCGGGAACAAATTGCGGTACGCTTGCTGTATGACCACAGCCTTAGACTTGGAGGGGTGGGAGACTTCCATTGTGTTGCAATTGTCGGCCTAGCTATAGCAAGGAGAATAGCTGTAGTGCCTTTTAGGGTATCTATGCCATCAGCGGTTTCTCTTGAATCAATGAGCAATAACGCCGGACATAATTTTCAAATAAACTTTTTTTCTATTTTTAGTTACTTACAGTAATTTAAGCAGACAGTTGTCTTAAAGTACGGCGACGAAGACAGTTTTCTTTCGCAATGCTAAGTACAAACAAAACTTGCAACTCAAGTATAGTTATGCACATAAGCGTCTGGACGTCTAAGTGTGCAATAGTACAAATTTCTCAATGAAAAAAGTTCAAATATTTGCTTAGACGTTTAAAAATGAAACTATTAATGTTGACGTCCAAACGTTTACGTGCATAACTGTACTTGAGTTGCAAGTTTTGTTTGTACTTAGCATTGTTAATTTTTTTAAAAAATCACCCTGTCTTTGTCATTGTACTTCAGGACAACTGTCTGCTTAAATTACTACAAGTAACTAAAAATAGAAAAAAAGTTTGTTTAAAAATTATTTAAGTATCTTTTCTTGATATGTTCTGTGCATATTGTCACAGTATTTGCTAGTCTTAGTTCCAATATGCTGATGACATCCAGCCACACGTTTCTGGGACTATAAGCCTCTAGAAGTTGCAGTCTCCCTCCTGGATGCAGTCAGGTGGACGAGGGGGAACAAGCTGAAGCTGAATCCAGGGAAGACAGAGGTATTGCTGAGGAATCCTGATGTTCTGGACGGGATTGACCTGCCTTTATTGGATGGTACCCAACTGTTGCAATCTTTACACCAAGTCCCCAGCATGTTGCTTGTGTGCGCCATGGTGCCTGCCGATACCTTTCTTTGCACCCACCTAGTGTTTTTAGTGTTTAGTGTTTGCTCCTTGGGAGGAAAGCGATGGCGAACCTAAACAGCATGATAAAAAGTAGAGACATCACCCTGCCAACAAAAGTCCGCATGGTCAAAGCAATGGAATTCCTAGTAGTCATGTATGGCTGCGAGAGTTGGACTATAAGGAAGGCCGAGCGCCGAAGAATAGATTCTATTGAACTATGGTGCTGGAAAAGACTCTTGAGAGTCCCTTGGACTGCAAGACGATCAGAACAGTCAATCCTAAAAGAAATCAACCCTGACTGTTCCCTGGAAGGCCAGATAATGAAACTGAAACTCAAATACTTTGGCCACCAAATGAGAAGGGAGCACTCACTGGAGAAGACCCTGATGCTGGGAAAGATTGAAGGTCAAAGAAGACGGGGACGGCAAAGGATGAGATGGTTAGACAGTGTCATCGATGCAACGAACATGAAGTTGAGCAAACTTCAGAGGATGGCGGAAGACCGGAAGGCCTGGCGTGATCTGGTCCATGGGGTCACAAAGAGTCGGACTCGACTGCGCGACTGAACAACAACAACAAGTGTTTTTAGAGAGTGGGAAGGGCAAGGTGGGGATTTTGTCCAGCAGGGATTCTGATAGGCCATCAGAGGTCTGATCATAGGGTTGCCAGTCCCCAGGTTCTGGCGGGAGGGGGGGTCCCTCCAGTTTTTGAGGCTTCTGCCCACTGCCAGCATGCTGGCTGGCAGCGGAAACCTGCCCCCAAACTATGATGTCCCTGAGGCAATGACATCGTGCAGAAGTGACATCATCACGTTGGGGATGTTGCGCAATGACACTCTGGTTTGTGGGCAAAACTCTATTGTTTGAAGCTGGTTTTACCATAGAGTTTTGCCCTCCAAGCAGGGCATTGTCGTGTGACATCCCCCAACGTGCTGCCCTCACGTCTGGGTGACATCATTGCCTCGGGGTTGTCTCAGAACGCCGCCCAAATACCCCTGCTGGTGTGATGAGGGGATCTGGCAACCCTATCTGATCAATTTTCCAGATTTTTTAAAAAAATTCTTCAGCAGCAACTGCCACCAAAACACAAGGCTATTCACTGTGTAATGCAAGAAAATATTTTAAAACAATGGGTTCGTTTTACAAGCTATCCTGTTAAGCAGAGCTTCTACGTGAACTGTTGAAGAGTTACTATTAGAGCTATGCATGACCTCACTTCCTAGGGCTGCCAGCCCACCTCTGGGGGCAGGGGATCCCCCCCCCGGCCCTGTCCCTCATCGCTGATTAGCTGGCCAGTGGGGGTGGACTTACTGGCAGAGGAGGAAGGCCTAAGCCACTGTCACCTGCATCATAGTGATGTCACTTCTGGTGTGTGCCGGAAGCAATGTCATCTATGGAAGAAGCCATTTGTCCATAGAGTTTTTGCCCCCAAACCAGAGAGCTGCTGCAATGATGTAACTTCCAGTGCATATTGGAAGTGACATCACCGCATCATCAGCGATGCAGCCTAGGCCTCTCTCCCACAAATGATGTCCTCCCCCCCCCCCACTAGTTGGCAGGAAGGACCTGGCAAATGCTATAATTTCCTGACATTTTGTGGTTGGCTCTGCCTCCCATGGCAGACTTTTTGTGGTTGGCTGGCTTCACCTCCTGTTACATACAGCAACTAGGTTGCTGAAGGAATTACCGTCCTTCGCCCTTCTTCATGAACTTTAGGCAGAAGATTTTCCCCTCACACTAAGAGAGAAGTTTCTCTCTTCATTTTGTTGACTCATGCCTATAAAATCTCAACTTTTGATTTTCCCCTCTTACTAACAGAAAATGGCTGACTCCTTATAAATGGACAGGGCCAAAACAAGTATTCAGCGTGAAATGGGCATG